AAAAGATTTAGTTTATAGACTTACATTGACAGGAAAGTAAATTGTAATATGCATATCACGTAAGGGAAAAAAGTCCTACAAATTCAGAGATTAAGAACAATGCAAGAACAATGCTGGGGCTGCGCTGTGGCAGCAGATAAAGCTGCTACCTGCACTGCCAGCATCCCATATGGGTGCAGGTTTGAGTCCCAGCTGTTCCACTTCCAACCCAGCTCTCTGCTATGGCCTGGGAAAGCAGTAGAAGAACACCTAAGTCTTTGGTCCCCTGACCTGTGTGGGAGAACCAGAAGAAGCTCCTGGCTCTGGATCGGCGCAGCTCCGGACACTGAGGCCAACTGGAGAGTGAACCAGTGGATGAAAGACCTCTCTCTCTACCTTCCTTCTCTCTCTGTGTAACTCATTCAATTAAATAAATCTTTAAAAAAAAAAAAAAGAATAATGCTATAGGGGCTGGCTCTGTGGCGTAGTAGGTAAAGCCTCTGTCTGCAGTGCCAGCATATCATATGGGTGCTGGTTCGAGTCCCAGCTTCCCCACTTCTGATCCAGCTCCCTGCGAATTGCCTGGAAAAGCAGTGGAAGATGGTCCAAGTGCTTGGCCCCCTGCACCCATATGGGAGACCTGGATGAAGCTCCTGGTTCCTGGCTTTGGATCATTGCAACCATTTGGGAAGTGAACCAGCAGATGGAAGACTCTCTCTCTCTCTCTCTCTCTGCCTCTATGTAACTCTGCCTTTCAGATAAATAAATAAGTCCTTAAAAACAAACAAAAAAGAACAATGCTACAAATCTTTTTCTAAACACTTTTCTTACTACATTTAAATTTTACACATACATGCATATAGGAAGGCACACACATGTACACACAGACACTGCTGTCTGCCTTTTCCTCATGTGCCCTTAGGTCAGATGAGGGATTTGGCAGACAACAGCTTCCTCTTGATATGGCCAGTAGTCAGAGGCAAAGGCTTGGGAGTATGTAACAGGTGAGAGGGGTATGTAACAGGTGAGAGGGGGCAACAGAGCATGAGGCAGCTAGGAGTACTTCTGACACTCCAATCCAAATAAAGAAAAAGATGTTTCTACAGTTTAGTTTTATGATAGAGCTATAGAATAAATACTAAGAAGTTTATTCAGAGAAACAACTCAAATATAAGTTATTAAATCTTTTACATCTTCTTTACCTATCAGGTGGGGAACTGTTTTCACACCAAGGCCCATTTCTATATTTATAACATAATTTGAGGGACATACAAAATTATTAACCTAAAATTATTAAATTAAAAATTCAATACATATATTGAATTTTAAGTCCTACTTGTGATTGTCTTGGCAGGACCAGACCAAATGATTTCATGTGGCTGGGACATTCCCCAACCGCGTCCCAGCCAGTACACCTTCTACAGTAGTGATAGACTAAAAGTTTTTGACACTCTAAGCATTGAGTACAACTGTTCAAATTACAACTTACGAACATGTAGTCTATGTCTATCAGGGGCTTCAAATAAGATTGTATAGTTCTACTGGAACAACACATTCCCTTTAGCGAAAACTGATTTCTTTGGCTAACAAGATTCTCTGCATCCGCCTGGCCACTGTCTTAGTTTCTCGTCATTCATCTGGGCTGGATTTAACACCTCTGCATTTGACCTCCCAATTGATGCTCAGTACTATAGATATCTAATGGGCCGATTGGATCGATATAGATCCTTAGCTCAAAATTCTTCAATAGCTGTTCATTACTAAAGCAAGAAAGAGCCCAAGCATTTTACCATAAAATCCTTGATCTAACCTCTGCCTATTTCTCCATGCCTATCTACTACCTCTTGCTCATGATTTCTCTCCATTTTTAATGAACTAGCAATTTTGAGCCACATGAAGTCCCTGGAACATACCATATTCTCCCACCTTCGTGGTACATCTTCATTATGTCTTCCTGCTAAAAACATTGCTACTCATCTTTCACTCTTCACTCAACTGCTCCATATACTGCAGCCTTTCATTATTTCCTCTGAAGACGAAGGCCCTCCATCTCTCAGGGTTTTCCTATACTTTCTGTATCCATCCATTATAACAAATAAATTATACTGGGAATCTTAGTGTGTCTTTTTCCTCATATAATAGTAGGTTATGTCTGCCCAGTTTTACTTCTAGCACTGTGCTAGCTCCATGGCTAACATGTAGTAGATACTCATTTTTAAAAGGAATTGCTTATTTCACTAAGCACAATGGTCTCCAGTTGCATCTATTTTGTGTTTTCCCTGATTTGTGGTAACTAATATTCAGAGTCCAAAAAATGCAATGTATGTGAGTGAAATCAACATTCTGACATTTGATTATTATTTATAACCCTTGTCTATAGCTTGAGGTACAACAGTTTTTCTGCTTACTACTTGCTGAACTCTTTATTTAATGGAGGGTTAAGCTTGTGATTATAAAGAAAGTTCGGGGAGCCGGTGCTGTGGAACAGCAGGTTAAAGCCCTGGCCTGAAGCACTGGCATCCCATATGGGTGCTGGTTCTAGTCCTGGCTGCTCCTCTTCTGATCCAGCTCTCTGCTATGGCCTGGGATAGTAGTAGAAGATGGCCCAAGTCCTTGGGTCCCTGTACCCATATGGGAGACCCAGAAGAAGCTCCTGGCTGTGGCTTTGGACTAGCGCAACTATGGCCATTGTGGCCATCTGGGGAGTGAACCAGCGGATGGAAGACCTCTCTCTCTGTCTCTACCACTCTGTGTAACTCTGTCTTTTAAATAAATAAAATAAATCTAAAAAAAAATTAAAGAAAATTCAACATATGTCACTGCAAAAATTAAAAGAAAAATAAGAAAAGGAAGAGGGAGGGTGGAGTGAAATAGTGAGGATATGGTAGGAGGTATCATTATGCTCTTAAAACTGTATATATGAAATATATGAAATTTGTTTCCTTTATATAAATACAAATTTAATAAAAAGAATCATGAATTCTATCTCAAATGCTGAATTTTACAGCTATCCATTTACTGTGCATTATCACATTGATGACTAACCAGCTAATTATCATCTTCCATCAATTTTATGCATATTAAGCTATCTATAATTAAAATCTAACTTGCTATAACATACGAAATCATTGACATATGAATTGAAGAACAGACGAATAATCCATCAGTTTTGAAAAGGACACAAACTCTAAAGTTAGGATCTCTTGTAAAAAAATAAGGCAATAGTATAAAAGTAATTTGAATTTACCTGAAAGGTTCATTTATCAGCCTTCCAACAAAAGTTGCACCAAAGGATTTTTAAGATTTTACTTACATGGTATAGTGTGGTCTCTGGCACAGGCGTGCCCATGATGTCTTGTCTCAGTGCATCCATTTGCAAACTAGGTAGCAATGAATAGTGAGTTGGGCTATTACTCTTATCACCCTTCTTTTTTGACTTCTTCCCTGTGTCTTTTTTGCTGTTTCTCTGAAACATGTACTCTTCTTGAGCAATTTTTTCATTGCTCATATATCGAAGTAGAGAGTTTTCTATATAAAAAGAGATAAATACACCAATGTAAATATGTGAATCTCTCAAACATATTACTGTTTTCCAACGGTGCTAAAAGATTTAATTTCAGAATTTTAACTTGATTTAATTTATAAATTTGTAGGGAAAATACAGATCTTAATTATTTGAGATCACAGGACAATAAGAAATAGAGAGCCTACAGATTATTTTTAAAGTTTTACCTCTGAACCAACTACATAAGAATCTCCTGAGGAACTTGAATTCAGAAGTTCTGAGTGTGTGACTCATAAAGTTTGTAGAAAGAATGGTGAGCATTTGGCCTAGAGATTAAGATGCTGGGTAAGATGCCTACATCTCATAAAGGAGTACCTGTGTTTAACTTCCAGCTCTGGCTCCCAATTTCAGCTTTGTGCTAATTCAGACTCTGAGAGGTACCAGGGATGGCTTAAGTAGTTGGGTTCTTGCCACCCACATGAGAAACCTTGATGGAGTTTGCTGCTCCCAGCTTTGGTCTGGCCCAGCCTCAGCCATTTTAGGCATTTGGTGAGTGAACCAGCAGATGGAAACTCTGTCTCTGTGCCTCTCAATAATAAAAAATATAAAAAGATCCCCGAGGGGAATTCTGCTAAAGCTTGATGACCAACATGCTAGGTAGTACCCTTGAAAAAGTTCAAGTCCACATTATGAACCAACAGTTAGGAAAATTAGTTCATAAAATCTATGCTTAAATCAATAGTCAACAGTTAGTACTTCACATGGCATCCCCCCACCCCAAGATGTCACTATATTATGAAGTCCCAAAAGAGTAAGTCAGAGATGGTATATGATAAACATTTATTTGATTTTCTTGATCTAGTATATAAAACAAATGAGATTAGAAACTGAAGCTTGGAAAATGGAATGAACACACAGATGTAAAGGAATCTGTCAATATTTCTGTATTTATCAACATTTTCAGAAATGCTCACTCCATAAAACATATGTTAAGATTAATGAAGCAAATTTTCATGTTTGCTTATCCATGTGGTTATGAATTCGTGTAGTAATAAAATTAGTTCTGTATAATGGTTAGAAATAAGAAGCAAATGGGTCAAAGATATCATGAAGGAATCTTAGCTTAGGTTCTATGAACACTTTTTTTGTTTTGATTTGTTTTATTTTTCATCTATAAACTTATTGCCCTGTATTTCGAAAGTATAAATAGTAGCATGACTCATTGTGCCCTCCATATATGCACACTTGCTCAATCTCTTTGAGTAGTAAGATTTCTAGTTGCTTTCTTTACTGTTCACCTTAATAGGATAAGTGAACATAAAAACTTACTTTTGGTAGATACTTCAAGAGTAGCCCACCCCTACGTAAGAAGATAACCCTGAACAACAAACAGAACAGAAAAAAAGCAAAGCTGTTTTCTTTCCCATTTATATATAGTTTTCATTAGAGTTACTGGCCCAGTTGCTGTTCGCTTTTACCCATGTACATTAATGTTCATTTGAGGTGTATCAATACAAAAGCAGTGAAGCTGCACTGTGGACCAATGGGAACTGATCACAAACTGTTCCTATTCAGTGCACTTCAGTCTTATATGCAGTTTCACACTTCTGACCTTGTTTTACCAATATTAAATTTCAAGTAACAATCAGATAATCATTTTTCACATTGCATTTATCTACCCTGAATCCTTTAGAAGGCATTCAGAGAAGATATCATCATAGTCAAACATTAGTCTGACTTGGTTTGGTTATACAATAAAGTCAATAATAGAATAAGTTATCTACTGAAGCCATACAATCTTATTTAAAAAAAATTAAATTTGCTTGTTCAAACAACCCTGCCTACACTGAAATTCTAGAACACTTACCTCTTCTACTATCTCTCTTCATCTTATTTGGATCTTCATAGTCCCCCACCCAATTATATTCCACTGGCATAGATATAGGTCGTAGCTTGCCTAAACACAGAGAACAAAGTTCACATCACATTGTTTTTCTTCCCCAAGTCTGCTCAAACTTATACTAGTTTTTAGCTAGAGTCTACAAAACACACTTACTCTTATGCAACATTATAGTTGGCATTTGTGTGGATGAAGAAGAAAATGTGTGTTTTGAGCCAGAAGGTGAAACTGCCTGTGGCAACTGGCCAGGTGTTAATATAATGTTAAGGTACTTGGTTACATCTAATGAAGAATAGTCCTAGTTTCCTCTCTTAGGAACCCCAGACTTTACAAGTATGATTCTTTACAGACAGGATCCTGATTTCAGTGATTCTACTTGATTTTCAGTAACTTTATCTCTGTCTTATTCTCCCATGCCCAATCATTTATACTTTGATAGACAGCCTCCAAGATGGTGGTGACCCCTTGTGTTTAACCTATCAGGATATCAACCTACTGTTTTATGTTGTAATACCACAAGTATAACATCTTATTTACTGTTTCCTAACTCCTACCACGATACTCAGCAACACGGCTAGATTCTCTTTCATGGCCTATAGCTGGGTCTACCCTAAGTATTACTTTTGCCACAGTGAGCATGTCTAGTTTACACATCCAAGAAATCACTCATTTGGCCTGTCTCATTTCTCTCTGGGTTTGTATTCTTAGTAAATAGCAGTTTTTTATTTTAGCAAGAACTCATGGCAAAGACTTCAAATATAACTTTTAGGTTAGGCTGTAGTGGATTTCTTTGTTCAACTTGAAATTCCAGAAGCATTAAACAGCCAAAGAAAATCATTCAAAAGTGTTATAGAGGATACCACAAAGCGTGGCATGAGACAGTTGCTTAAGAAATTTTGAATGAATGAAAAGCAGAGATTCACACAAAATTGGATCATAAAAATCATTATGATTATGGTAATCATGATACTAGTATAAACATAGATTATTTACCATGTGCCACATACTGACTACTAAGAGTTTAATAAGTATCAAATTGCTTAATCTTTATATGATACATATACTATCATTATGCTAATTTTATCAGATGAGAGAACTGAGGTTATATACTTGTTCCAGGACATACAGCTGGTAAGTGTGTAGTATCAGGATTCAAATCCAGGCACTCAAATATCACTTCCGTCATAATTCTAGATGACTTTAATATTCACTCTCTGATATTCTGGTCTCTCAATTTCTTGAGTTTCCCTCTTCCATGTATTCCTGTGGTCAAATGTTTAATCTTGTTATTTGAAAAGGCTGCAAACCCTCCAAATATTTCACTTTACAATTACCACCTTTTCTATTTCTAGCACACTCCCTCCAGCATTCTAAGTTAAACAATCCTGCCTCCTTTAATCCACCAATTTTACCACTTTTCAGTATCTCTCAGTCACCAGAAGAGAGGCCTCTCTCCACTTCCCTTCTTGCCAAGTTCAGTTTTACAAAAAATCATTATAATTACTTCATGCATTAAAAAAAGTTGTTAGGAGACTTCTAATTTTGTTCTCATGGAAACTGTATTAACTTTATGGCTTCTTATTATGTAAACTGACACAGTTTACTATGTTTTGCTATGCTATTTAAACGTAAATGATGAACTAAGAATGATAAAACCACTAATGAGCTAAGCAATGTAGTATTTACTTAAGAGCTTCCTTTCATACTATATAAATGACTTCATAAATGATGACCATAATTCTCACGGAACATATTTCTGCTTCTTTATGCAGAAATGATTTGGCTGAAATGAGCCAGGTCAATATTGTGCCAATCAAGGGAGGGGAAAGGGATTGAAAAAGTCCCTTTTTGTCATTACTATTTAACTCTGTTGCGAAAGTAGTCCTTCAGATTTTTATTTCTATAAATGCTATATTTTCAAAATATTCACAACTTATTTCTTTGTGTTTAGTTTTAAAACTCTACTTCAGTATCATCTTATAGTAATTTTTATTCCTTTAAAGATAAAGTATTTATTAAATGTAGATTAATACATTGTTCATTTATTAGCTGAAGTAATTAAGCTCTAGCACTGTTTCAACATATCACCAAGAAAATCTTTTGAAAAGTGAAAGACCCAATACATATGCAGCTAATTTTTTACTTGCTGCATATATTTTTATATATATATATATACACACATATATACACACATATATATCCATATAAACTAGCTTGAAACTTTTCCAGGAATCAGTTGGTTTTTTGGAATCAAATATATGTGTACAAAAACAAGAAAAACACACTTATTCAGAATATGAAGTATAATTGAATTTGTTTTATTTTAGATCATCTCTGAAACTCTAATGGAGGTAAGTCGTTGGAGCATGTAATTAAGCCCTTGATGTCGATGGTTATATCATTAACCATAAGAAGAATTTTGCAGAAGATTTTAACACTGATTTTCCCAGAGATGATTTTTAAAACAGAATTACACTGCATACTATTAATATAAAATTGCAGGAAAACTGGTGAGTTTGAACAAATCTGATATTTAAAAAAATTAAGTAGAATTTACTTTATGAGAACATCAAAGTTTTGCTTTTATTTATTATAAAACTATAAATTTAGCCATGCAAACAAAAATAAGTATTTTAAAAAGAAGTTCTTATTAGCTTAGGTATAACAAATAATGTTGCTTATAAGTATTATTTCTTTTATAAACTTTTTATTATGCTAAAATACTGAAACAGTATTCTTTAGAAATAGCAGTATTTGGCAGGTCAAAAAATAGACCATGACAAATTATTTCTAATTCCAAATACACAGATCATTCGTTTCAACTTGTAAACATATATGCTACTATATGTATATATTAGCATTTTAACTTCACAATGACAGCAAAGTTCCAATAAAAAAAAACTTTATGGTTTGATGCTCTAGTGATATCCATAAAGAACAACACCTTAAAATGAGACTTCTACAAGCATAATTAGATTTAAATACATATATACTATTTTTGATAACATAAATTACCAGTATTTTACACTCTTTAATACAAATTAATTGACTTAAATATATCTGACCCCTTCTATGTAAAAATATATAAACTAATTATAAATCTTTGGCTTTATCTGATTAACCTGGAAAATTTTAAGATGTGTTTTTTACACAGTAATACTTAAATTACTTTTCAAGGTAGTAAGACTAAAATTACTAATTCATGATAAAAATTAATAATAACTAATTTAAGAAAAACGCAGATTATAGTCTCTCTATATTTTTTTGCTGACCACTTCATCTTATAGTAATTTTTATTCTACTAAGCATAAAGCATTTATTAATGTAGATTTATTTGGCACTCTATCATAAGCCTTGTGACATCTGTATACTAGTGTCTTAGTATAACTATTCTTTTGTTATATAGCTTTTCATGTTTGCTATACACCTGAAACTTTCTAACTGACATCTCCATAGAGTCAAGAATTGTATGCTACATCTCTTATTATATTCTAATAAATGCAATTATGGTGAAAGATAAATGATTCTGGATTTTTTATGAACTTTATTCTAAAATTGATGGCATGTAGTTTTAAAATTAGGAATTTCATCTGCAATTAAATACAAATGGAATATGCAATACAGTTTTAAAGCACAGATGATGATGGAGTGTTTTATAATGAAGTATTTACATTAGTACATTTTAATATGAGAATTGCTGTTTCAATATTAGTATACAGAATTGCTTAAAAATAAGCTAATTTAACCTGAGTAATAAAGCATTTACGGTGACATAACTTTGGTAGAGTTGACTACTTACACTTGGGACTCTCATGGTTTTATCCTAATGACTTTGGTATATATGATGCTTACTACATTGTATGGTATCTGTTTGCTTATAGATTTTTTTCCCCTACTTCTTGGCAGGAATTAGGTGTTACATTTCTTTGTTATGACTGTCTATAGAAAAAGCAGGTGCAGAGCAGGTATTCATTAACGTTTTGTTGAATGAACAAAAAGATGCTAGACATTAGGGAGATCTCAAATAATTAGGTTGTTCATTGGATTCTATTCACTCTGACCTACTCAATGGCTCCTGACTTTGGCCTGGCCTAACCTGTCATTGAGGCCATTTGGGGAGCGAAACAAAAGATGGAAGATCTCTCTCTCTCTCACTCAACCATCCTCCCCTCGTCTCTCTCCTTCTTTCTCTGTAACTCTGCGTTTAAAATAATCAATCTTGAAAAAATAAACTTTCTCAACCCACAAACCCCAACCCAACTACCACCTTGTCTCTTTGTCCCTTCCTTACAAAAAAACTCCTAGAAAGCATCTGAATGCTTTCATCTTCTAATTTATTTCTTCCTTCTCTATCCCGAACCTTCTCCAATTAAGCTCTTGGTCTTACTACATCAAAACTGCTATTGTCAAGGTCTCTAAGGCCTCTATGTTGTTAACTCCAATAGGCAGTTCTTAGAGTGCTTGACTTTTCTGATTTATCTTCAGCATTTGACACAGATAAACTCCCCTCTTTTTGAAACACTGTCTCCACCCAGAACCCAGGACTGTCCTCTTGTGGTTTTCCTCTCCTCTTCTCTTCCTAAATTAACATGTAACCTCCAGAGCCAAGCAAAAAATGAAATGTCATTTCCTTAGGAAAAGTGCTTAACCTCTTATTTTAGGCCAGATTTCTTTGTGCTCATTTCCTCTTGAAGTTCTGCATTTATGGTAACTGTAGCCAATAAATGTCATGAAATCAGTTGCCTGAATTCTGTCACCCTTCTAGAATGTAAATTTCACGATGGAATAAACATTTCTGCTTTCTGTAGTATCTCCAGCCCTTAAAACAGTGCTTTAAACACCATAAACTGCTTAATATTTGTAACTGATTGCTTGCTGAGAAGTAAATGTGGGACTTTCCTCACACAGTAGACCAAAAAGAATCTAAGACCACTAGTTTCTATTTTCACAGATTCCTCACCTTCTTTCATCACCTTTCCTTCTAATGCACTATATCATACTGACCAGCCCTGATCATTTTTCTAACAAACTGAACCCTAGAGAAGTGTTTGGTAATC